CATTCCTGCCCACAGCTGCTGGTTTCTCTTTTGCTTTTGGGGAGCATCAGTTGGTATTGGCATGTCCTAGTTGGATCCAAGGCTCAGCATGGGCTGGTAGGTAGGAGTGAATCAAGTCCTGCCTCTCTGATGAAGCCCTAGTTTGAACCTTGGCATCTCAGGAGGGTGCAGGGTGCCTGGCCATGCAGTGACAAGTCTTATTCTCTTTGCAGGCACTGGAAAGGGACACGTAGCATGCCACGCTGCTCTGGGCTGGAAGCACATTGTGGTTTTGCCCCCCAGGCTCCAACAAACCATTCTTGGTGAAGCAGACCCTGATCTCCTCTTTCCTTGCTGCATGCCCGCTCACCAGTGCTGGATTATGTTTGTCTCCTTCTCCCTTTGCTCCATCATCTGGTTGAATCGTGGTTTCAAGCTCAGGAAAAGGGGCTGCACCTAAGTGTGCCAGAGCACCCGACCAGCTTCCTGGGGTGCTGGTTCACACAGAGACGTTCAGAGTGCTGATGGGGCAGAGCTGCCTCTGAGGTCCCCTCTGTCCCACCCTAAACAAGTCACCTCACCCTTCAGAGCCCTCCTCCCCAGAGCCAAGAGAATGGGCAGCACCGACGGGTTCCAGTACCGCGCCCTCTACCCCTACCGCAAGGAGCGCGAGGAGGACATTGACCTGCTCCCTGGGGACATCCTGGTGGTCAGCAAGGGGGCCCTGCAAGCGTTGGGCTTTAAGGATGGGGACGAACAGACCCCCAATCAGATCGGGTGGATCCTGGGCGTCAACGAGCGGACCAAGCAGAAGGGTGACTTCCCTGGCACCTACGTGGAGTATGTGGGGCCTGTGAAGATCTCGGTGCCCTCTCACCGGCCCCGTGTGCAGAGGCCTCTGCCCGCCACACCAGGGGCCAGTGGCAGCCGGCTGCAGGAGCCTCTGGAGCAAGGTAAGTCCTGGTGCCTGGATCTGGGATGTCTCTGCTCCTGGGGTGTGGTGGACAGGGCAGGAGACGCTTTGCAGGGCAGTGGTGAAGCCCTCAGTGTGGCAGCTCTGGGTTGTCCTGCCAGCAGCGGTGAAGTTGAGGTGCCTGGGAATTGTGGGGTCACATATGGTCCTGTCCAAGAGAAGAGCACGTTGTTCCTTCGGCTTATTCATCTGCTTAGCAGATCTTCTTGGGGCAAGCCTTGTCCCACTCGTATCTCTCCAAAATCCTCTCCCTTTTGGGCTCACAACCAGTTGGGATCCCTGTGGTCCTTGATCCTGCTCCACTCCCTGCCTTTAGGAATAAGTCCTGACCTCTCCCAACCACCTCCTGCTCTGCCTCTGGAGTGCCCGGGGCATTGCTCCCTGCCAAGAGCCCGCTGAGACACACAATTACTTGTCTCTAGGCAAGAGGAGAAAAAGTCAGGGTCTAAAAGAGTATTTCCGAGAACTGGAGCTAATTGCTTGTCTGCCTGGCACCCGTCCCTCCCTGTGGATCGCAGAGCTGGGGCTGGGCAGCCGCCCTCGGGCCGGGCATGGGCCGTCCTGCACCTGTGGCTGCCTCCCAGCCGGCACTGGGCTTGGCACCCACCCACTGGGAGAGCTGCTGGGAGAGCTGCTGGGAGAGCCCCCGTGCCTCGGCTCTGTGGCAGCTGCTTTCTGTTTGCCTGCTTTTTATTTTGCTCTGGAGGATCTGGGTGCTGTGACACAGCAAACGGGGGTGATAGCCATGCTTTGCCTACCTTTGCTCTTGCACAAGAGGTTGTGCTGGTGCACGTGGGAGGAGTAAGGACAGCAGTTGGTGGACATCAGAGCACACTCCTGGTCATAGAATCCCACACTGGTTTGGATGTGAAGAGATCTTAAAGGTCATCCAGTCCCAGCACCTGCCATGGGCAGGGACACTTCCGACTAGACCAGGTTGCTCCAAGTCCCATCCAACCTGCCCTTGGAACACTTCCAGGGATGGGGCAGCCACAGCTTCCCTGGGCAACCTGGGCCAGGGTCTCACCACCCTCACACTCAAGAATTTCCTCCTCGTGTTCAACCTCAATCTCCCCTCTTCCAGTTTTAGTCCATTCCCTGTTGTCCTCTCCCTCCCTGCCCTTGTCCCAAGTCCCTTTCCAGCTTTCCTGGAGCCCCTTCAGGCACTGGAAGGTGCTCCAAGGTCTCCCTGGAGGCTTCTCTTCTCCAGGCTGAACACCCCAACTCTCTCAGCCTGTCTCCATCGCAGATGTCTTCCCCATTCCTTTGCCTGGGGGCCACTGCTGTCCCACCAGATGCTTTTAGCTGTGTGAGACACCTCTGGGGTCTTAAGGACTGGAAAGCAGCCCCTGTCTCAGAAACGAGGGAGGTGGGGCCAGCTGTGCAGCTGCCTCTCTTGCTCCTGCTCCTGGAGCCGGAGGGGCGGCCCCAGGAAACATCTCCGCAGGGTGGGAATGTGGCCGGGCCCTGCGTTTGGGTTGGCTGCCAGAGCTGCTGACCTGAGTCATCCCACTCACAACCTGCCTTTCCAAGAACGCGGCTCCTCCGGGGAGCCCGGGGCATGCTCTGCGGTGGCTGGCGGGCCTGCCTCCACCCACCC